TGGATAAGGATAGGGTATTTTGTTGAGGAAACCGTCGAATAACGTCGCACGTAATTCAGGTCATCGCTGGAGTGGATTCTCAATGGGAAGCAATGAGTGAGTAGTCGGTGCAAGGGTGACATTGGGGAGATTGTGCGTGGGAGAGGAGAAGATAACAGTTTATGGCCAATCGTAAGAGCAGATGAAGAGGACAGTAGAGAATAGAAGTAAGTGGAGATGTGTTGTTCAAGCCCTATTTCCCCCCCACCCCCCCCCGAAACCCAAGGGAATAATAAATAACTTATAATCAAACTGAAATTGGCGCATAAATACCGAAAGAATCCCTATTTAGAAATTTTAAAAGACACAAGATTTGAAGAAAGAAATATTTACATCTTAATTAGATCATACAGGTGAAAACCAAAAAATAAGCACAAGAGGAAGGAAGTCTCACCATGGGTCGTGAGGCTGTCGATCAAAATGAACAACAATGGTGAACTCTTCTCAGACTTCTGTGCCTTCAGTGATTTGATGATTGGTGGCAGTGTGTTCAAACACAAGGATAAACACAAGGCGACATGGATTTTACCAGATGGAAACACCAAAAACCAGACAGACTTCATTTCAATCTTAAGGAAGTGGAGACGGAGCCTACTGGACACAAGGTCAAGGAGAGGAGCAGATGTGGGTTCAGACCACTATCTAGTACAAGGGACTTTCAAGGTGAAACTAAAAGCCTCGAGGAAAGCTGGAGATAGACCACAATGCAAGTTCAACTCTCAGAAACTGAAGGACACGAACACAAAAGACACCTTCACTGCAACTGTCAGAGCAAAGCAGGAGACACTACGCGACATCACTAAAGAATCATGCATGGAAGAACATTGGAAGTCTCTGAAGGCGATTCTCAACGAAACGTGTTCAACGGTTCTAGGAAGAAAGAAGAGACAAGACAAGGAATGGCTCTCAACGGACACTTGGAAATTAATAGAAGAGAGGAGAGTGGTGAAAGAGAAAATGATTCAATGCAAAGACGGACAGGAGAAGGAGACACTGAGCTCAACTTACACAGCACTGGATAAAGAAGAAAAGAAGAGTGCTATGAAGGACAAAAGACAATTCTACGACAATCTGGCCACTGAAGCTGAGAAGGCAGCAGGCAAAAGGGACCCGAGAAAATTTTATCAGATAACCAAGTCTCTATCCGGGAAGAGATCAGCACAAGTGAAACCCATAAGAGACAGCCAAGAGAACCCAATTACCAAGGAAGAAAGAAAGATTAAACAATGGGCGGATCACTTCAAAGGACTCTTGAACCAACCATCAACTGCAACCCGTCCAGAAATACCAACAACAGCACGTACACAACTGCAAGTTGACACCAATCCTCCAATGAGAGCTGAAGTCTTGAACGCAATCAAGCTTCTGAAAGCTGGAAAAGCAGCCGGACCAGATGGAATACCCCCTGAAGCGCTGAAAGCAGACCCAGAGACGACAGCAAACATGCTGACTTCATTATTGCAAAAGGTCTGGAAGGAAGGAAAGGTGCCTACTGACTGGAGGAAAGGTTACCTCGTGAAACTACCAAAGAAAGGTGACTTAGGACTCTGCAAGAACTGGCGAGGAATCGCGCTCCTGTCGACGACAGAATTGATGTAGACAACTAACCAACAAGCATCAATAGCTGTCCACGGAATAAACTTGAAAGAGATCCCTTACTTCACTTATGTAGGGTGTCATTTACAAGACAAACTCATCCATTTCTCTCCCTTTTATTCTCTCTAAAGGGGAGATAACTTACTTCAATTAATTGATAAGTACAATTTCACTCAATAATTATCATTCTAGATTTTCGATACTCCTACCTCCACATTACTTCCCCCCTTTTCCCCATCAGAGAAACCGTTCAGCTGAAATGATATGATGCAAAGCATAAAGTTATGAAAATAAACCAACCAACAACAACAACCACCGCAGCAACATACAGTGCCAATCACCATCAACGAGAGGGATTTGAAAGAGGTTGCTTCATTCACTCACTTACCTAGGGAGCATTGTCTCAACTACAGGCAGTTGGAACGGGCGAGGATGTCAAATCGAGCGAGAATCGGGTGGTGGGCGAGAAACACATTCATCAACCAACTGAAACCAATCTGGAAATCTTTGTCACTTAGCCAGAATCAACAACAAAATTCGGTCGAATTTTCAGTACAAACAGCGTCATGTCAGTCAGTTTTTTCTATACGGATCAGAAACCTGGCGGGCGGGCGGGGGTGACAAAGAATATTTCCACCAACAGCCTGTTGCAGACGTTACCTTCGTCAACAACTGTCTCCACTCTATACTGAAGATGAATCAGATGGCCGGACCGGAAAGAATCACCACCAACTCTTGGAAACTATGGGAACAAACAAGAACAAAACAAGAACCAATCGCCCAACAACAACAAATATGCAGGAGAAAGTGGAGATGGATTGGACACTCACTAACTGAGGAGGCCGAGTCACTGGGTGACATCGCGCGCGCGTCAGGCCATTGCTCGAGTGGAACCAGGCCGATAGGGAAGCGGTGAGTTGGACGTCAGTGCAAGTGTGGGTGACATGGAGGAGATCGTGTGAAGAGTTGAGGAGTTGAAAGAGTATGGACTAACTAACGTGGATGCAGGTGAATAGTACAGGAGAAGGAAGACAGAAGTGGCAAGTGGAGACGTGCAGTTGAAGCCCTATGTTCCACTACGAACCCAAGGGAACAATAGGATGCTTCAATAGGATGCAGTACACGGTGTATAATGGTGTCTCCTTTGCTTACTGAAGCTGGTGTTCCTCAGGGTGCTGTTCTCTCGCCGTTTCTCTTTTCCTTCTACTTACATGACCTACCTCTCTCAGACGAAATCAACTTCGTCAGATATGCAGATGATCTGACTATTTCGCTTCCCGTTAAGTCTCAGTCAGACTGCTTCAAATTAAATAGCTTCCTGTCGGACATCAGTCAGAGGTCGAAACTAAATGGCCCCAAGCTAAATCCCTCAAAATGCCAGACTATTGACTTCTCCTTTAGGCATAAACGAGATCTACAAGCACTAGTAAGCATTCATGAAGCCTGTAGCACTGAGGGGACTAAAATTGAAACAAAGTCTAATGCAAAATACCTCGGATTAGTTCTATCTTCCGACCTTACTTGGTCATCTCATATCCAAATGATTTCAAATAAAGTGCTTCGTCTAACCTACTACATTAAGAAACTCAGACTAACTGGAGTCACTCAACCTCTGCTTTCACAATTTTTCAACTCTCGTATCCTACCTATTCTACTTTACTGCTCCCCATTAGTCTTTCCTGGGTTACTGAAAAAGGACCATACCATCCTGAGAAGGATGTTGAAGGTAGTTAGTAGGACTAGCGGTGTAAAACTCAGTGAGCTCGTCACTACATTAGTAGAAAAGCATCTGAAATGGTCTAAAACCATACTCTCTGACCCCCAACACCCCTCTATTCCCAACTCTCTCCCTGCATCTCATCAGGTAGAAACAGAAATCAGTACAAAATAATATAAGTATAGAAACTCAACGATACCATACTTGGCCCGTGTTCTAAGTGACAGAGACTATGTTAAGCGTGAAACCTATGACTTGCTTTGTTGTTAATAACATAATTCTGGCCCTTGTTATTTCCCCCTTATACTCTCTTATTTGTACTCTATAGTGAACAACCTTCTTAAACATACTTAGCTACCTAAATTATTAACATTGGCTTACTTTTTTAATCTTTGTTCTATTCCTTCTTTTGTATATCTATTGGGTCCGACTATATTATCACTATGTTTATTACAAATTGTCCTGTCATTAACCATCATGTAACATTATTTTTTTAATAAAAAATAATTTCCAATGTTTTTTTTTTTTTTTTTTTTTAAATTAAGTTTCTTTTTTTTTAAAATAAAAAAAATAAATTTTTTTTTTTTTTTAATTCATCATATAAATTTACTTTTATTTTCCAATTTAATAACTTTTTTATTTCCCATTATCTATTTGAACATGACCTGGAAAACATTCGCACCTGTCTTTCTGCATGATTAATTCAATTTAGTTTGTTTACTTATGAGTCTTATATCTCCCTATGTAATTTCAAAAGTATATATATCCGTGTATGTAGAATATTCAGCTGACGAGTTCTACCGAAATTTGATGAATTCATTAAATCCTGCTTTATTAACCTTTATTGCTTGTTTTAAATTCGTATCGGGAAATAAATGTTTTCAGTAATAATAGTGTTGAAGTGAGTTAAGATAATCGTTACTGATAAAGCATAGTTTTAAATGAATCAAGAATAATAATAATAAGGGGTAGAATAATAAGTAAAACGTATTACCACGGTAGATTCGGAGTGACGAACATCTCCTTTTGTACACAGATATCTGGTTTAAGAACTCGCATTGCACAAGGCTCTGCAATTGCAAGCATCTTCCTGTTTCTTTGTCTGCTGACAACAGTGTGAATAACTTCACAGCGTCAATATTATGTCCGTATTTCACAAGATACTTTGTTATTGAGGTTTTTGGCACTTTGAATTCAGCTGTTTTTAACTACTTTGGTAAATGCTTCATCATGCGAGTAGATAATTCCCTCTAGATTACCAGTTCTGCAATGTATCTAGCCAGAATTCAAATGTAGTGAGGTAATCTGCCTCACTGTTGATGCGATCCACCTTAAACAAATAAAAAAGCCTTCCGGTGTTTATTCGCCTCAACTTGACTAACAAGCACGATTGTTTGGCATGAGTAGTTGAAAAGTCTTCACTCCAAACATTAGTAAAGTACTATGGATTCACGCTTGCTGTCCTAATCATTTTTCATGGTACCAAGCAGATCAAATGCATTGTGATTGGAATAAATTCGGCATACACAGGAAACTGTGGTGAACTTACGCCTCAGTCAGTGTAAACTACAAATCTCCAAATAATAATTTTGCAAACTGAGATTTTATTTAATTTTTCTTCCACTTTTTTATTTGTTCATTTCTGTAGAATATCGGACGTGTTAGACAGAAAATGCAAGATTTGCAAGTCTACAGCAGTATTATGATCCCCTTGGTCTATACTCAAGTAAGTATCCAATGTCCAGTATTATTTACTGCAAGTTCAACATCCAATTGATGAGTCCTAAAACGGGATGAAACATTCGTTTCGAATTTCTCTTCCATCCACCACCACCAACAACAACAAAATAACACAATGCTGGGTAGTACTCACTCGTGAGGTCACTTTCGAAGGATCTTTAACGCAAACCACCAGTGTGCTTTTCAGTGAACTAAATGTCTGCAGGTATATTTTAGGTCCATAAGTACAGAGCGAACAAACACAAATTAGGGTAAATGCACTATACTACTTAAAAGTAATTTTAAGTAGTAAGACGATTTAAACTTAACTGCATCGGGCTTTAGCAAGTATAATTGTTAAGCACTGACGACATATCAATCTGCAAAATAAATTGCACACATGTTAGTATCACAAATCCTGATGAGATAAACACAGAATTTCCTGTTGTCAGACGAGTGAACTTGTCTTTCCTGAGTATTCTAAACATGGGTAAGATAGTTTTGAATGGTAATCACTCAATAATTTAAAGTCGGATAGTTTCCTAATTTATGCGATTTTCATGAATTATGTCATTATTTGGCGGCTCCACATATTAAGGCTGAATAACTTATTTGTAGCGTATCTGAATGCAGTATTGCTTAGCGATGAGTTAATGTCATTTCCTTTAGTAGTGGCTATAAACCTCGTGAAGTGACAGAAGTTCGAATCCATAGGCCATTAGATTCCATCCCAATGGCAGAATACTCAGTCAGTTTACCTTGTAGACTGGAGGTCTTGCAGTCGATCCACTGCGAGGCCACTTGTGCGATCTACTGAAAAGTCTCAAAATGATAATGAACATATCAGTGACCATATTCATGAATGAATGTATCTCAGTCATTGTGAACACTTTTGAGTCATTTTAACGGACATTCTTCAGTCATGGATTCTTAGCACCCTAAAAAACCTTAGCCAAACAACATTCAAAGACCTCGTGGAGTGACATAATATGATCTCTCCTAATGTGAATCTTTGGGCATTGTTGGGCATTCATTCACCCTCTGAGTGGAACATACGGCTGGAGCTAGGAAGTTACACTACAGCTGGTGTTACTTTTATGGCCTAGGGTTGATGGCCTCATATCTAACCCTACTTCATTACCAGACTAAGTGAGATTTAGGAATGCGTCGACAGAGAATCCAACGCGGACCAATTTCACAGTCGGCAAGCATCCAATCACTGCGCTTTTGAATTACTAATGTTCAGACTGAATTCCCAACTCTTTCACGCAATATTTCGGTTATTACATATTCCCTTGATATCCATCATATTTTTTCTCAAGTTAGATAACGAACTGACGTCAGCTGAGAACCTCCGGAAACTAGGAAGTACTAAACATTTGTTTTGCCCTAGTTTATAACTCCTCAGCAACAGTCATCAGTAAAGACACTGGTCACAGCTCACAGAACCTGGGACCATTCAGCAAACCTGAATGAAATCCACCACTCTGTGAATCTCGACTGTTATGACTGACTGACCGACTAGTTTCATCGCAGAACTTTGCATAAAAGTGTAGCATCTGAAGTCACCACACTTCACTCAGCACACAGAGCCAGCGAAGAAGAAGAAGAAGAAAGTAAAAAGAAACGCAAAACAGAGACAGTAAAGAGAGATATGAGGCAAAAAGAATAGTAATATCGAATAATTAAATAGTTTTATTAGTTGTTATAATTTACAAGGAGTGAATGCATCCGCGCTAGCCATTGAGAACGAGTTCGAGACATATCAGCGATTTTCTCCAGCCTTCATTGGTGTTTACCGTCACGAGAACCTCAATCAGAAAGTCTAAATATTCCTATGTGGCTTAAACTAACTGTTGTGGATTTCACTGACTGATGAAGCCATGTGATTGCATGACCACCAATGGCTAACTCTTTTCCAACCTAACCTTATCTCAGTTAACATTGCCCGTCGAGTGAAGCGACGGCTAGGCACATATGTGTAACACATATCCTAACCATCGCAGTCGATGTAATTTCACAACCTCATCTATTAATTTCCCCTCCTTACCTAGCACTCTATTGATATCTAACCTCAATATTACTGGCCATTTTGATGTGGTTTTGTTCTCTGAGCTGGATAGTTAGTTTGCGAAGCTTTCATCGCCCTACTGGGTGACATCTTCGGCGCATTTTTTTCATCTCCTCCTTTCAGGTTGTCATTATTGCTGTCTACAGTTATTTTATGTGTCAAATATTCGCCTGTCAATTTGTTGAAAATCGTCCTGATGATAAAAGCAGAAAAATTGATTTATACGTTCCAATATTTAGTATCTTCTCATTTCTATTTCTTATGGGATGGTTAAAAGTAAGTTGAAGTTATTATTTTTGCCTGACGATTGCTCTCTTATGATTATAGTAATGTATTATTTACGCATTGAATTGTTAATCTATTTATACGAGTTTGACCACGGATTGATATCAGCAGTTAGAGAGCATTGAAAACCAGCAAATGGAGTAATGGACACCTTTTTTAGTCAGCCTAGTTTGGGAATCATCGACAGTACGCATCCATACACCAGGTTTCGAACCCAGGACCTTCCGGTTACAAGACAAGCTGGCTTGTATACCATTCAGCCATTGGGACTCGACTCCTCAACGGCCAACCCGTGAATGATAACTTCTGCCAATTTGCGATTTACCGCAACTGGCACCAACCAATGTCATCGGTTGGAACTCCATCCTCACTCCCGACTGGATTGGCCTCACCGGTCACGACTTCTCACTAGAACTCCTCCAGGAAACTCCGTCTGTCTTGTAGCAAATCAATAGCGAGGAATCTATTGCTTACAAGACATATCATGAAGTGAAGTTTGGTCATTGAGCATTCCTGATGAGTCTGAAAGTGTACTGAACTCCTTGCTTATCTTCAGTAGTTCTCTAACCGAAGTCAGCTCATGAAAAAAAAACCTGACGTCAGTGAAATTCCTGCATAACAACACCTGAGAATTACTTCTAGTGCAGACTAAAATCTGACTACAGAATAAAGTTGTCTGTAGTTCCAGTGGGAAGTCATGACTGGTAGATTTCACTAGTTTACGGATGAGGATAAACAGTGACCGAGGATACTTTCCTGGCAATCGCGCACTATATCGTCAGTTTGCGTTACTGGATGCTATCCCAATGACCGAGTGGTCAATAGGGTTGTTTTGTAACCTGCAGGTCTTGGTTTCACTCCTTAGTGGGTGAAATAACTGATCCTTACTGTTGAAAAATCACAAACGTATAGGTAAAACAGCTGTCAAGTACTTTTTGCTGGTTTTTAATGGTTTTCAATCAAATCCCTACATATCTAAAGTTGAATGTTCACGAAGTTATGTCACTTAGAGAATCACTGATAAATGAGGACTACCAGAGTCCTCTGTAGGTGCTTACTTAGGTGGGATGGTGATCACGACCAGTGGGGTTCGTCAAATACAATGTAGAGACCAAAACTTTCCTATGGCACTGGGCCACGAAGACATTATGTGTTCCAAATTGGCAGAAGTTAGAATTCATGGGCCATAATGGATACCATCCCACTGGATAAATGATCAGTAGGCGCATCTTGTAACCTTAAGGCCCCAGACTCATTCACTGATGGTATCATGAATGCATTACACTTGAAGAACTCCAAAACCAAGATGCAGCAGCTATCCAGGGCATTCGTGGCTGATAGGTAGTCCAACAACCACATACTGGCTATTATATATCCTAAGATAGTATATAACCAATTCAAGATGTCTCATGTTTCAACATCACAGGTGCTTTTTAACTAAGTACTGCACTTGTGATCTTCAAGGATCAATACTGTTCTAGATAAACATATTCAGGTTGGCTATAGTTTAACTAAGTGAACTAATGCTGATGAGACTGTCTGAAAACACCTTTATTTGTCAGGCTGTTATTGATGCACTGAATGACAGTTTTAAGTGAAGTGTAAGTTTGAGTTTGAACAGAGTTCTAACCAATAACTCTGACTTGCTAATCCAGTGTCATACCAGCTGAACAGTTATTATTCTATCGGCTTCCAAGTGGAATATACGGCTCCGACAGTACATCTCTGTCACCCTCTTTTCTGCAGTAAAGGCGGTTATCAGTGAAAATCCCCAGCATTTCGGAAAGACTTTTAGTGTATCACTAACCCTCTGAACTATATCGAAGAATTTATTCATTTGACATTATTTATTAACATATTATTATTGTTCCCTGGGTTCATAGTGGAACATAGGGCTTCAACTTCACGTCTCCACTTGCCACTTCTGTCTTCCTTCTCCTGTACTTTTCACCTGCATCCACGTTAGTTAGTTTGTCCATACTCTTTCAACTCCTCAACTCTTCACACGATCTCCTCCATGTCACCCACACTTGCACTGACGTCCAACTCGCCGCTTCCCTATCGGCCTGGTTCCACTCGAGCAATGGCCTGACGCGCGCGTGATGTCACCCAGTGGCTCGGCCTCCTCAGCTAGTGAGTGTCCAATCCATCTCCACTTTCTCCTGCATATTTGTTGTTGTTGTTGGGCGATTGGTTCTTGTTTTGTTCTTGTTTGTTCCCATAGTTTCCAAGAGTTGGTGGTGATTCTTTCCGGCCCGGCCATCTGATTCATCTTCAGTATAGAGTGGAGACAGTTGTTGATGAAGGTAACGTCTGCAACAGGCTGTTGGTGGAAATATTCCTTGTCACCCGCCCGCCCGCCCGCCAAGTTTCTGATCCGTATAGAAATCAGAACTGACTGACTTGACGTTGTTTGTATTGAAAATCCGACCTAATTTTGTTGTTGATTCTGGCTGAGTGACGAAGATTTCCAGATTGGTTTCAGTTGGCTGATGAATGTGTTTCTCGCCCACCACCCGATTCTCGCTCGATTTGACATCCTCGTCCGTTCCAGTAGTTGAGTAGCCTGTAGTTGAGACAATGCTCCCTAGGTAAGTGAGTGAATGAAGTAACCTCTTTCAAATCCCTCCCGTTGATGGTGATTGGCGCTGGATGTTGCTGATGCTGTTGTTGTTGTTGTCGTTGTTGATGGTTGGTTGGTTATTTTCATAACCTCCGTCTTGTCTATGTTTACCTGGAGTCCTGTCTTCACCGGCTGCTTCTTCAAACGACCAGTTTGTCGGTCGGTTTTCGCTTGTAAGTCTTCAATTTTGTGACAGTGTCATCAAACATAAACCATCCACGCGCGAAATCCAGGTCTTCTAGGTTCTTCACGTCGGTCGATCCAGGATATCCCTGTCTTGTCGTTTCCCACCCACAGTCTGACGCATAATACAGTTCACCACAATTAGGAATATCATTGGTGATAATAAGCACCCTTGTCTGACTCCTGTGCTTACTCCAAACGCCTGACTGAGTTTTCTGTTGTGGATCACTTGACATGTGCCATTGTCGTACAGCTATGGAATAAGGTTGATGAATATTCGAGGTGCGATTTGACATTAGTGATGAAAATTCGAATCTTGCCCCTTTTGATGAGTACAGGAAATTTTCACAGTGGGCGCCTGTCTTGTTTTTTCAATCCTTGCTGGCTGTGACATCCTCACCAGTGGCGCCTGTCGTTGAAACGGTGCTGCCCGGCCCAGTGAAAGAAGTGACTTCTTTCAGATTTTCCCCGTTGATTGTGATTGGCGTTTGTTACTGCTTCAGGCTTGGTATCTCCATCGTTTCTGTCTTCTCTACGTTCACTTGAAAATCTGTAAAATTGTCGCTTCTTTATCGACAACTCGTTGGCAGTGGACATAAATCACTGAAGACCTCCACCTTTTCTAGAGTCTTCTTGTCAGTCCAGCGTATCGCCATCTTCTCGCCTCTCAAGGCTTCCCACATTATCCAGTTCACGAAAATCAGGAATCTCATAGGTGACAGACATCCCTATCTTGCTTTGGTTTTCTTTTCAGATGCGCAATCGAGTTTTCCGTCGTGAATCACCTGACATGTGACAATATTATATAGCTACTGGATGTGGCTGATAAAAGTTTGAAACACCCCGTGCCGTTGAAACAGTTTTGAAATTACTTCACGGCCTACAATGTCGAACGCTTTTTCAAAATAGATGAAGTAAGGGTGAAGAGTCGGCTGCTATTCTATGCTCTATTCAATGATAAAGCGTCCTAGCGCTGAAATTCGATCCTCACATGATTTGTTTCTCCTAAATCCAAATTGTTCCGGGTGGAGACCTAACTGTTAACCAGGTTACTGACTCACTACAATCACCACTGGTAATGCACATTCATCGCATCAATAAACTGTGAATTTTGATGTGGTTTTGTTCTCTGAGCTGGATGGTTAATTTGCGAAGCTTTCATCACCCTACTGGGTGACATCTTCAGCGCATACCTCAATTCGTTGAAGTGAGCTTTTAGATTTCTCCACGAGTTTATTAATCATCTCTCCTGGTGACCTTAGACGTGATTGGTTGTTTATGTGTGTTTTCACATCTCCTAGGTTACTTGTATTGGAACTGACTGTTTCTTTGATTTGAACTTTGACCCTTTGTGTGTGAAGTTTCTTTCTTATTGGTTGATAAATTTTGTCTATCTCGATGTGTCTATTGATTGATGATTCACTGGAATGCCAAGCTTCTAAAAATTGTCTAGCATTCTTGTTGTTTCCTCTGTCTGATATTTAAACACTGGTGGTCCCATTCGAATCGATGTCCGTGGTTGTCTACATGTAGTGATATGAGGGAGTGGATGTCATGTCTTTTGACGGCTAGCTTATGTTCGTGGATACGAAGACGAAGGGGACGTCCACTTTGACCAATGTAGTGTTTTTCGCAGTTGTTACAATTTATTTTGTAGATGATGTTGGTTTTATCCTCTTTTGCTGTTGAGTCTTTTGGTTGACATAGAATTGAGTGCAGCGACTTTGTTGGTTTGTGTACAACATCAATTCCTAAAGATTTGAAGAGTCTTGTAGTGATTTCTGAGATATCCTTTATGTATGGTAAGGCGATTTTTTGTGTTCTCGTTGGTGGCTTTTGCTTTGGTAGGTTGGCTTGGAGGTATACGTTTTTTGATGAAATTCCGTGGATATCCATTCTTTTGGAAGACGTCCATGAGATAATTTTCTTCAATTTTCTTTAAGGTGAGAGTGTTGTAATGAGTCCTTGCTCTCTTGAATAGTGTTTGTATGCAATTCCTTTTGTGTGTTATTGGATTGTCGCTGTTGTAATTCAGTATTTGGTCTGTGTGAGTTGATTTCCTATAAACTTGAGTTTCTAATTCCCCTGTGGTTGTTCGCTTGACTAAGACGCCAACAAAATCACTTCACCCGGTTCTATGTCAACCAAAAGACTCAACAGCGAAAGAGGATAAAACCAACATCATCTACAAAATAAACTGTAACAACTGCGAAAAACACTACATCGGCCAAAGTGGACGTCCCCTTCGTCTTCGTATCCACGAACATAAGCTAGCCGTCAAAAGACATGACATCCACTCCCTCATATCACTACATGTAGACAACCACGGACATCGATTCGAATGGGACCACCAGTGTTTAAATATCAGACAGAGAAAACAACAAGAATGCTAGACAATTTTTAGAAGCTTGGCATTCCAGTGAATCATCAATCAATAGACACATCGAGATAGACAAAATTTATCAACCAATAAGAAAGAAACTTCACACACAAAGGGTCAAAGTTCAAATCAAAGAAACAGTCAGTTCCAATACAAGTAACCTAGAAGATGTGAAAACACACATAAACAACCAATCACGTCTAAGGTCACCAGGAGAGATGATTAATAAACTCGTGGAGAAATCTAAAAGCTCACTTCAAATTGAAGTTTGCGCTGAAGATGTCACCCAGTAGGGTGATGAAAGCTTCGCAAATTAACCATCCAGCTCAGGGAACAAAACCACATCAAAATCATCCACCTGAGCTACAAATTTTCTCTATCATATCTAAACTGTGAATTATTATCCGTTTATAACCACGCTACCTTCAGTTCTAGATTTTCTCCAGTCTCAAAGAGTCTCTATTTTATGTATTCCCTTTACGGCTCTACAGTTATATATATATATATATATATATATAGAATATTCTAGATTACTAGTAAATAACAATATTAGTGTAACAATTATATATATTCTCACTCGGCGCCCAAATTTTTTAGAACTATTCTGTCAAATCTTGACTACAGTTCATTTGACTGAAACAATATTAGTGTTTTCTAAATAATAATATTGATTTGTAAAGTATGATCACAGTGGAATTACAGTTCATTAAAGATGCTTAAATAATAGTAATAATAAAGATATACTATCGAATAAAATATCAACTAAAATTAAGGAAATTTCTACAGTAAATTGAGGATCATTCAAACCTAGATGGCCAAAGCCGCCCAAGTTCCAAAAAAAGCCTTATTCTTACAAATGCAGTTCCTTGGGGACAACACCATTGAGATACAAACATAGCGCCTTAGAAATGAGGCGGTAAAAAGAGTATTCCCTGCTGCAGAATTATGCTGTATCTTCAAAACCACTCCTCTTTTGCCTTCAGGAGTAAAAGACAAAACGGCCTAATTTCGCCTCTTCCATATGTATCTACAGATTTAACTGCTCCTGTGGAGCTAGTTACATAGACTGTTCAATTAGGCGTGTTTCTCGTGGAATTTCCGAACATCTGGTTAAGCAAAGGACAAGCTAAATCTATTCGCAGCGCTATTTCTATCTCATCCTGTGGACACAGAACACAAAATTGATCTTAACCATGCTCTCAGGGTCATTTACCGCATACCTACGAATTTCAATTTTGCCTTAAGAGTTCGACCACTAAATATGGCTGAGACTGGCCGTTGGAATCCATATTACAAGCCTAATTTATACATCCAAAAGAAGTTAGTTCAGATATTATCCATACCTTGGCTATCTAGATTTGAATGATCCTGAATTTTGTGGAATTTTCCTAATTTTAGTTGATATTCTATTTGCTGTTATATTTCTGTTATTGTTATTATAATTTAAGCATCTCTAATGAACTGTAATTCCATTGTGATCTTACTTAACAAATCGATATTATTTAAAAAAACACTAACATTGTTATTGACTACTAATCTAGATTATTCTGTGTATATAAACATATACGTATATAATTGTAGAGCGAGAAGAGTAATTTATTGGAAAGGATATTCTTTGCTCAATTATTTTGTGTTTTACAGATGTCTGAATGAATATTTTTGCCATATCGCAATCTTTGTCATTTAACAACACGCTGCTCTTCCCATAATTAAAATCATTAGGGTTAAAAGGATAGCACATAGATGGAAAAATAACCAGTCTTGGGTTAGACACAAGATATTAGTTGTTATCTAATGCGCAATCAATGTATCCAGTACAGTCCTACAGAAGTTCAGTTGCTAGCCCGTCTCTGACTGCTACACTGGGTGAGGCAGGTCTGAATCTCAGGAGGGACATGAGTTCCCTGTTGATGAGTACCACCAAGTGCGAAACCTATGTCAGGCTTGGCTTCTTTCCTACTGCCTCCAACTAGGTAGTAACAACAATTTGGAGGGCAACATGAAGGCAAGCCACCCAACATAGCAGCTACATTGCAAACTTGAGTGATAGAATTTAGTCCGCAGCAAAATCAAGGACCAGACTGGTGAAATGAGTTACCACCTAGCCCTTAGTCAAAGCATTTATATATATATATGCATACATCTATGTTTTAATTTATAGGTTGCTTTATGTGTCATGAATCCATTTGGTGATGATGATGAAGACTTTCAGACATCGAAAATTTTAGATTACAACTTGGATGTTAGTTTTCGATCTGTTTACATGGATAGTGATTCATTTCCTGAGTATCTTTCACCACCGATTGGAAAAAAACGAACTGATGACGATGGTGAAGATGATTTGCTCAAATTTTTAGAACAAATAGATCAAGAGTTAGCTGAAGTTACAGATAGAGAATTACCGAATGAGTAAGTGAAATATTTTGTGCTGGGGTGTGTTTTTTTTTGTTTTTAATTATTTTATGTATTTGTAATTGTGCAAATTAATCGTTTTTGTAATCTGAATGATAATTTTGATAATTTGATCAATTCACTGAGGTAAAGAGGTAACGTCAGATGACAAGGGCCAGGCAGGCAACAGATCGTTTATTGAGAAAATCAACATATATTTATAGATTTTTATGTACATTATTATTCGTTATTATTGGCTGAGAGACAGCCTCTTCTGATCGGTTGTTTTCTTGCTCAAGGTTATTCTGTCATGTCTTTGTGGCCATCTCTTTGAAGATCAGGTCGTATGTCTGCCAATCGTATCCGCCCACGCTAAGTCTACTGTGATTGGTTATTGAGTCAGTCTTTGTTCTTGTTTTTTTTTTATGACCAAGATTAGGGACGTAAAGATTGACATAAATTTCTGTCTACCAATTTCGGCTAGCAGACAGCTGTCATCACAAGCAAACGTCTCCTCAAAAGGAGGGCTCTTGAAAGCCATTAACCGATAGAATTCAGGTCTGACTCGCATCTCCAGTCAACTTTAGTCATTATTTATGCATTAGTCAACAAGAAACCAATACAGTGTCATTCTCTGTTGAGCGATGGATTTCTGAAGTACTGATGGAAACGTATCTGTGTACTACAACTTGAACTATCCACAGAAGAACTTAACTCTAATTAGTTATCATGGCTCAATTTATTGCTTTAGGAAGATGAATACGGATTGGTTGGATTGTAAGATTATCAAAATGGTGTAACATGGCAGGCTTTTTGTATTCTCAGGGATCTCTCAAACATAACAAATGATGTATGGAAGTAGCGGTCTAAATAAAAATCTCCAAAACAGAAGTATTCAAAATAAAAGTCTTCAGGTTGTTTATTGACCTTTTCATTAACTGAAGGTTTCACCCAGCTATCATGCGACAAACCGTGAGCAGTGAAAAGGAGAGGCATGCAAGTATACAAATTCGCCGAAGGAAGTCGAGGTATACTGAATACACACTGTGGTAACCTTCAAGTGACACAACTCAAGTGAAACGTACATTTCATTAGAATCCGATATTAGTAATAGAACTGTTGAAAAACAAGAGGAACCGGACATCAATTTCATCCCTATTTGTAAATCTTCATTAGTGAGCAGTTATGAATTTATAGAATTTGTAATTCACCGAATTCCAACCCAGTGGCAGAATAATTTGGCTGGTAGTCTGAAGATTTTGAGTTCGGCCGTTGCTGGAGATTTCGATGTCCTGTCGTCCTATTACGGCGTATCTCAAGCCTTTATCAATCTCATTTAGCAGCTGGCTATATGACAATACCACGTGTCAAGTGACCAACAACGGAATACTCTCCGAGGCGTTCGAAGTACATAAAGCAGTAAGATGAGGCTGCCTGCCTACTATCACCGATGATATTCTTAATTGTGGTGGACTAGATTATACGTCAGACTGTTGGGGGGCAAGGAGTCAAGAATACTCTGGACAACCGACAAGAAGACTTAGGAGATCTGGATTTCGCGTGTGGATGATATATATCTAATGTCACACAAATCCGAAGACTTACAGGAATATGAAAGCCAACAAACTGGCTGAAGAAACCGCCAGCGAAGACGGGACTGCAGGTGAACATATAGAAGACAGAGGTGATGAAGATAACCAAGTCAACTGCAACAACAACAACCAGCACCAATCACCATCACAACGGGATAGCTTTAATAGAGTTCGCCTCCTTCACTTATCCAACCAGGAAGCATCGTTTCAACTACAGACGGTCGGAACGGATGCAGATGTCAAAGTCAGAATCGGAAAGGCAAGCAAGATATGCCTTCATCAACCTGAAACCAGTTTAGAAATCTTCTACACTCAGTCAGCATAAGGAAGAAGATTCGGGTTTTCAAAACCAATGTGAAGTTGGTTCTTCTATATGGGCCAGAAACTTGTACTGCATGTCACACAAAAAAGATTTCCAACTGCCTGTTGTGGACTTTTATCAACACAGCTGCCTTTAACAGTTGGCTATATACTGAAGAACAAATGGCCAGAAAAAGCCAGTAGCAAGAAACTCTGGAGATGAACAAAACAACCAAGAGCCGATTGTTCGACAGTTATGTAGGAGATAGTGGAGATATATTGGACACACATTGGGGAGGCCATTAAATGACAGTGAGCACAAACCAGGCCCTCGAGTGTAATCCAAATGGGAAGGGACAAGTGGGATGTCGGTGCGAGGGTGACATGGAGGACATTGTGTGAGGAAGAGATGGGGAGTTTGGTCAATTTTAGACCCTGCTGAAGAGGATGACAGAAAGCAGAACAAAATGAAGATGTGTTGTTGAAGCCAGCCTAAATTCCCTCGAAACGCAAGGGGATAAGAATATATTTGCTGAAAAGCTAAGATGGAGTTGCCGACCAATACAAGGTGGTTTCCGAAAGATACTTTAAAAGATGTCAGTAAGAGATGAAATAAACGCTGAAATTAATCAGAGAAAACAACTACATCGTTATCACCCACCTGAGTTAAAAAATCTCGTCTACCTTATCCGCATAACTTATGACTTCGGCTTCATATTCTTGCATACAGAGTTTTAAATACACAATAACTGATTTCTTCTCTAGTTGCTTTGTGTTTACGCTTAAAAGTTTTGATATTCACCGTTGTTGATTTTGCACAAATTAGTCAACTAACTTTTATTAACATATAGACTTCTCGATACTACTTATAATAATAATATTATGTGTAAAGTTGGCCGGTTTATATTGTAACAACAGAAGACAAGGGCCAGGCGACAGATCGTTTTATTATGGAAATCAACACGTATTTATACACATTTCACATACATTATTATAGACAAGCGCAGTCGTCTGATTGGTTGTTTATCAGAAGTTAGGCAGACAAACGCAGGCTTCTGATTGGTTGTTTCGGGATTCCTCGACAAATAGAGTTCTCTATCTGCGAATCATATTTTGCCACGTTAACTTTGCTGTGATTGGTTGTTGAATCAGCCTTGCTCATATTTTCTCACGGCCTGCTCTCACCACAATATGAGTAAGGTCCGACAAGAACACACACATAGTGGATCCAAAAGGCTAGCCTCTGGTGAATATTGAAGAGAATACAACATGTGGGCAGTATATTAATAGAGGCGACTCATTTCAATCTATGTAGGGTAATAATTTCATTACTCCGGAGGAGTAAGTTCAGTAACCTATGTCCATTTTCGGAGGGACAAGAATTTTACCCAAAAACCTAACTTTTAATTAATTGTTACGTCCCTCCACATCCGTCCCTCAATTGAAATGTTGAATTAAATGATTCGAATGTCATTATAACTTGGTGATCTGTGAATCGTGCGATAAGCAACCGATAAGGATTCTCAGTTTGAATAACCTTCAGTAAAGTTGACGACATTCTCATTGGTACATATCAATACCTTCTTGTAGGCTAATTATCAAGAGTATAGTATTCAGCGAAGAAACTCTCTTCAACAAACTTGATATCAAGCGGCACAATCGTATATATATCTGTGATTGTTAAGAAATTATATCCCGTGAGAAATTTAAACAATAGATGTCAATACTCATAATATTAATAATATGAAATGCGATTTAAATGTTTGTCAAGTGTTGGTTTTGTAGGGATTTTGTTTGATTGCATGGAGGATTTAATCATGAGCTGACATCAGTTAGAGAACCACTGGAAACCTGGGAGTACTGGACAGCTGTTTCGTCCTAGTTTGGGACTCCTCAGCAGTACGCACCCACGCCACGGGGGTCGAACCCAAGACCTTCTGGTTACAAGGCGAGCTCGTAGACCATTGAGCCACTGGGACCCGACCCAATGGTCCTTGAATTCTAACTTCTGCCAATTCACGACATAGCGTGACCACTTCGAAATGTCTTCTTCGATGAGTTACTGCCTCATCTTCGACCTGCTGTACCCTACTGGTCACGGCTTCCCACTAGAACCCCAGGTTAACTGCCTGAATAGGGCCAGTCGCTAGTGAGCATCAGATTAATTTTCAAGTGTTGGTTTTGTAGGAATTTGGTTTCATTGTATGGAGGATTTAATCATGAGCTGACATCAGTTAGAGAACCACTGGAAAACCTGGGAGTACTGGACAGCTGTTTCGTGAACTGGCAGAAGTTAGAATTCAAGAACCATTGGATCAGGTCCCAGTGGCTTAATGGTATACGAGCTCGCTAGCCTTGTAACCAGAAGGTCCTGGGTTCGAATCCCGGTGGGTGCGTACTGCTGAAGAGTCCCAAACTAGGACGAAACAGATGTCCAGTACTCCCAGGTTTTCCAGTGGTTCTCTAACTGATGTCAGCTCATGATTAAATCCTCCATAAAATGTTTGTGATTATAACCAAATTTCGATATCAAGTGGTAAAACAAACAGCGTTATAGACAGGATAGTTCACTGAATGTATAGATCTTGAGAAGAGATTTATACTAAAAGGATTATTAGAATTATTATAGAAATGAGACATTATGTAACATAAAGAGAAGTTTGACAAGTGTGTGGAGTACGTAACAATATGATTGCTTACTTTTTGTTAGTTGTAGAAATTAGAGACATTGTACATGATTTTTGTTTAGAACAATTCTTGTTAAAATATACATAACTTCCATGTACAATTGGAAATACACTTTACTGTTGGGTGTTGTTATCAATCAGTTTTTTTATTGTTGACGTCAACTAACAGATTGAAATTACTTAAGAAATCAGCCCCGAGGATGGCGTGACCGACGTCGGCTACTATGAAAATCCCTGTAAAACGCCGACGTAAACCTATATCCACTATAAGGGATTGTTCCCCATACGTCTGTATGCTTGTGTGGTTGGCTGTCAGGAGACACAGTTTTCCTGGTGTCCGTGTAGATCACCTGCTTAGTGAAGGAGGGACCACGCTAACTTCCGCTCCCGTGTCTACCAAGAATAAAGCGTCTGAAATTTTGTCCTTCACATAGAAAAGGTGACTTGTTTGCTTGCCAGTAACAGCTGTCGCCATCACTGTCTGGCTGGGACGTTTCCCTGCCTGATTATCTTCACTAAAGATGCACGGTTTAACACATTTCAGGGCATTCCATCCGAACTTCCCATGGTACCAACATATATTACTGTCCCTAGAAGACATGTGGGAACGCTGTCGGGAGAGAGATAATCGCCTTAATGGTGACCTTGCTTGTGAACTCCGTCTCTGGACTCGTCGATCAGACCTACTAGTTTCCAGCTTGTCAAGCCTTGTCGCTAACTCTGTAAGGACGGCGATTATTGGTGACTACATTATAGATATGAGAACGTTGGTGCAAAATGGGATACAAATATAAGATCACAAACAAAATCACAATGAATATAAGAATATGAATATGTCAAAATAATCCCCGTCCTAAACGGGCTCACCAATTAATTTGTAGGGGACTGTTATGAGAGCTCATTAACATTACAAATATGAGAATAATAATCCAAGTCAATGAAATGTTGAGTAACAATATATTATCAAAAATGCAGTAATGAGCTACATTAATAAAAAGGTTACTTGGATATACTTTTAAAGTCCACTGCTACAAATCATTAATATAATCCACAGAAGCGTTCACTGCTGGAGTCGTGTCTACTTGTGGAAGCTGTGCCGGTTGTAGAGTTGTCTTCGGTTAAGGATAATAGACTCCTGCAATAAATCCAAAGTATACAACACGGTGTGGGTGGAGCAAGTAAGCAGTAACGGCCGGAGAGAAGGCGAAGCTTCTAACAGTATAGTGTATTTCCAATTGTACATGGAAGTTATATATATTTAAACACAAATCGTTTTAAAGAAAAATAATGTACAATATCTCTAATTTCTACAACTAACAAAAAGTGTACAATCATATTGTTACGTACTCCACAAGTGTTATACAGACATAAGTTTTCTAAAATACTATATTTATCTTTACAGTACAGCTTGTATTTCCCTTATCCCACTTATAACCTTGGAATCCTATTGGTTATTGACTGTACTAACTTATCAATGTAATTAGTACCCTTTAAGGCCATTTAAAGCAGATGTCTACGCAACTGCCGCCAATCCTTTTTGATATTGATTCTAGACAATAGAAGCTCTCCACGTCGATATATATATATACGTCAATGGTCTATCTTCTTGTATTCTTCCGTCGCGGATTAGCTGACATCGTATCGTATTGTTGTTATTGTTGTTGATAGTTTTTGGAACAGTAGGCTGGGGAAACAATTAGGTAGTAAGTTCATAAGTGCAACCTAACAAGTATAATAACGTTCATAACAATAAGATAGATTGTAACATCGTGAGAGATATATTGATTTAAAATTACGAACGGGACAAGTGAAATAATACCCTGGAAACTGCTCAAAGTGAGCATAAGTAATAATTCTAATAATCATGGTAATAACAGAAAGGCACAGAGATTAAATAAATAATTGTCTATCTCTCTTCAATCAAGATAGACATAGTCACTGTACATATTTCTTTTGTTCACAAAAGTCTGGTTTAAATTTATGGATAACTAAGATTTCGGTTGTCTTTAGAAGTTTGGGATGAAGAAAATGCAACACAAGAGAATGAATTCGATAGGTAATCTTCAAATCATGGTCAGGGTTGATAGAGTAACAGAAGTCGACCAAGTATTCTAGAATGGAGCTTCGCACACTACCTTCCTTTCTCCCCTAAAAAACCATGCTGTAATGTGCCCTCGTATACTTAAGGAAAGTGTTTTCAGATTACAGCCAGTGTACCTTGCTCTACAACAGTAGGTGAACTGATAAATGCTCATGAAGGTGGCCAGACGACATAGTTTACAGAAACGGAGAACAACTTACGACTGGTGAACGTCTTACAGACTGATTTACAGCCACGATTTCTGGGTATATCTGAAGCCTGGCCACTTTCGAATTCCAAATCGATGAATATGGTATTCCTTGGAACAGATTCAGTGACCAGTCTGGGTCCTCAGTCTTCAATGTTTTTTCTCAACAAATTGATTCGTTTTCTGCTAGCGGAGCTTCAAGGAAAGAGAGTTTCTTGTCAAGTCACTCAAAAATACAAACAATACTTATCCTAAGAATGAGTCATATTTCTTTTCCTGGAGATAGGCATTCAAATAAAGAATAAATATCAGTGTGTGAGAATGATTTAACATCAACTCGACTTAATTATTTACAAACTTAAAGTTATACTACTTATTTTCTCACGAAGTAACATCTATAATCTTTATCAAAATATTTCTTACAGTGTATCCAATTTGGAAATGCGACCATCATTTTGTGAACGTGCGCGTAATCTATGCTGTTGTGAGAAAAAAGAACCGCCACCACCTCGTAAGTTTCAAACAACAAAATTTTTTTCGATCTGAAATTTTTTGCACTAAATTATTGGTAGTCTACTTCTTTTCTATATTTAAGTAGTGGTTATCTACATTTAAATATACCATCATGGAGATATTTCTATGCAACGTGGGTATTTTCAATAGACAGATTCCCTTAAGTTTATGGTGGCCATTGTTTCATTATTTTACCGACTTGAATTAGGGGAATCGTGCTGTCATTATCCTTCAGGAGGAGATTGTTTCACACTTCATAAAAGTATTTTGAATATAGTGGGTGATGTCATGAAAGCCACTCCTTCAATGTGATTGTGGTTGTCGTCTCAGTGATTGAAATAGACTTCTGACTCCTCATTTAACAATTCAGACAGTTTGCTTATTGCTTTCCATCTATTCTCACAGATTCCTCGCTCTTAAATATCGTTACTTCTTATTCCTTCAGCAACCTGAGCAGTCATCTCACCTCCAAACATTGCGTAAACTTTCGATGTATGTGTAGGTATTTTTGCTTTCATTAGGAGGAGAAACATTGGCTAACTGATTTCCTGAAGGCTTTCAGCAGACCTTAGAGTTATTTCATCTCTCTAATTCTAAGTTTGTGTTTTATACATATTTTTCGGTGCACTAAATTTTCTGTAGCGATTAAATCGATTTTCCGGGATAAAGTAGCTAGCACTTCAATCAGCCAGTACCGACTTGTGACAAAATCAGCACGGAATCTTCAGTGTTAAGTGTGTGTACTCAACAAGTACCCACTTTGATTCACGGAATCCTGACAAGCAACTTCAAATACTGAAAACTAGAAGACAAAGTGTCAATGTTGGTTAGAATCCGATCTGTCTTCAATATTCGAAATCTATTAAGAGAAAGTGAAATATAACTAATGTTAGTGCGGATCGAAAAAGTCGATTTTCCGCCCCGTAACAACTTGTGATGTGTTCAAGAATACAACCCTTCACCTTCACTCTGAAAATGACGATCTGGTGCCTCTGTTTTCTTGCATTACATTTATACTACTTATTACAAATAAGTAGTTTCTAATTACGCGCAGTATAAATCACGTCTGTTATTGTTCCCTTGGGTTCCGAAAGGAACATAGGGCATCAACTGCACATCTACATTTGGTCTTATTCTCTGAGGTCCACTTTAGGTGGCCCTACAATTGCCCATGGTCTCTCATCTCCTCTTCGCATGGACTCTTCAGTGTCACTCCTGGAAGCCCAACTCATTATCTCCCATTCAGGTCCAACACAAACAATGACCTGGCGCTTGATGTCATTCGATAGTCACCTTAGCGAGTGCCCGATCCACCTGAATTTTCTTCTACATATCTGTTCAGCGATAGATTTTTGGCTGGTCCTTCCCTAGAGTTCTTTGTTGTTAATCCTTTTCGGCAAATCATTTGACCTTCAACATGAAGCGAAGGCAGTTGTTGATTTAAGCCAGCATCAAGCTGTCGGAAATGCATTTCGTGACGTGTGTATGAAACTTCTCACCCATATAGAAGCAGTGACCTAAGAGTGATGTTGAAAGTCAGAATCTTGTTCTTTATTCTGGCTGAGTGAAGAAGATTTCCTAACTAATTTGACATTATCATCCGTTTCGACTGCCAGTCGATGAGACGATGCTTCCTGGTTGGATAAGTGAAGAAAGTAACCTCTTTCACAATTTTTCTGTTGATAGTGACCGGTGCTTCTTGTTGTTGCTTGAATATCCTCATCATCTCTGTCTTCTCTGTTACTTCTTCAATCAGTTTGTTGGTTTTAGCCCGCCTGCAAGTCTTCGAGTTTGTGTGACATTAGACATGAATCACCCACGAAATCTAAACCTCCTACAGTCTTCTTATCTGTTGTCCAGTGTATCCCAGTCTTCTCGCGGACTGTGCACAGTCCAGTCGACTATAATTAGGAATATCATTCGTGATAATAAGCTATCTTGCCTTGTTCCTGTCTTCTCTTCAAGGACCTCTTTGAGTTTTCCTGCTGTGAGTCACCTGACACACGCCATTGTGTTGAAGTAGTCTCCAAATAACTTCACCATCAACACTGTTGAAGGCCTTCTTGAAAATCGACGAAAGTGAGGTAAAGGTGTAGGGTAAATACATTGTTATTATTATTATTATTACTCTCTTGGGTTCCGAGTGGAATGCTGGTCTTCATTAGCATATCACGATTTCATCACTCTGTTCTCTTTAGCCTTTCCTAGCTGTCTGTAAAATTCACCATAAACTTTTAATTCCCTTCATGAGATCTATTCAAATATCTTGTAACAATAATTACTCATTTTTAAAGATCTCTATCTCATCTAGCTTGTAAACATTCTCTTGTTAGTCTGTGTTAAACCTCATCATTGCATGATTAAATGCGTCGGGGGCACAGCAGTACAAATGCTCACCAACCACGCCTAATGTGGTACCGGGTTCGATCCCCGGCCACTGGCCGATGCACTCCTTTACCTCGCTAAGCCATTAATAAGACTGGTAAAGAGGAAAGGTTGGACATGAGGCTGGCTAGCAAACCCACCCCTTAAAAATAAACACCAGTGCTACAGAAACTTTAAGCCTCTAAGCTTGAAGCCCTCGCTATGTTCCACTGGGAATTATAAAGGAATAAAATTAAAATAAAAAATTGCATGATTAAGATGTACCTACTGAATATGAGTCCCGTATACCCAGTTTTTTTCACTTTATGTATATTAACGTCTTATATATTCATCCTGACGCGTTCATGATTCTGTTGTCAGCAATAAATATAGATACCTCATGATTTTAGTACTATACCTTAGACAAATCCTTCAAAACATTTGATTTATGTAACGGAAAGTATACTTCATTGCTTTCGTTTTGAATTTCTCAGCTGAAATCTAACACACACACACACATACATACTCCATTGATGAAAAATCTGATCTAATTGATCTGCAAACAGTTCGATGTTTATTTCAACATACTTTCATGATGTATGGAGTTGGAAACCTATTCATTGCTTTTGAAGATTATTCATTATTAAACCAATGGTTGGTTACACGGTTTCATCGTGAGCTGGCGTTGGCCAGAGAACCATTGGAAAACCAGTCATGGAGTACTGGACAGCTGTTTCGTCCTAGTTTGGGACTCTTCATCAGTATGCACCCACCGGGGTTCGAACCCAGTACTCCCAGCTGGTTCTCCAATGGTTCTCTAACAACCAACGGTACCCGGTGGGTACGTACTGATGAAGAGTCCCAAACTAGGACGAAACCGCTGCCCGGTACTCCCGGGTTTTCTAATGGTTCTCTGAACAATGTCAGCTCATGATGAAATCCTGTAACCAATCAACCAAATCCCTGCAAACCAACACTTAAACCAATGGTTATTAGTATCTTAGACTGATCGAAGGAAGCAAGGATTCTGGTCATTACTTATTATTATTACCAAACTTTCCTCGTCTCTCCTCCATATCACCCTCAAAACGAAGTGTCCCATTAATTCGTTTGTCACTTCCTCTTTTAATCCCATCTGAGGTGCATGGCGTATGATGTCACTCCTTGATGGTCTTCTTAAACCGTTAGTAATGGCAGATTCTTTCCAACTGCCTACAATATGAACAACAGAAATGAATCTTCTCGATTGTAGACTGAATTCTATCAGTTAAGTTTGCAATGTGGTCATCATCCCACTAGGTGGCTCGCCATTACGGTGTAATTGTGAGTTGTTAGTATTAGACGGTTGGAAGCAATCGGCCACTGGAAGCCTTAGACACCACCTAGGTTTCGTGCTTGTTTGTTGCACTCACCAGTCAGCCAACAAGGCATATCTGCAACCTTAAAGGAACTCATCTCCCTTCTGAGAAGATTCAAACCCGTGTCACCCAGTGGGTACTGCAGAGAGAGAGACGTTGACGTTGGACAGCTATTCAGGCTCGCGACTAACCTCCTGTAGGACTGTCGTGGATATTTTTATTTGTACACTAGTCAGTAACTAGTGTGGAATGTGCCTGTGTATCTAGTCCTATCTTTGGTGCAGACCCTGTGGGTTCGAATCTCAGAAAGGACTTGAGTTCCTTATGAGGTTGCAGATACACCTTGCTGGCTGACTGGTGAGTGCCAACAAGCACGAAACTTAGGTGGTGTCTAAGGCTTCCTGTGGCCGAGTGCCTCCAACCACCTAATACCAATATAAAAAATATAAATTACAAAAATCGGGGTTTGAAAATACCATTTTTGTGGTGATAAGGAGTAACTGATAAGAACACTAGATCGCACATTATTAAGAGTTAGAAGGACTGACTGTTTTCAAGGTAAGTGAACAAACATTCGTGAAAAAAAAATCTGTAGCAGAGTTCAAAATCTTGGGTAGAAACAGAATATGATGTCAACAAAATAGATCATGTTTAATTGAATTTGAGATTTGCCCATCGATTGATTGGACTGAAGTGCTCGATCTCAGGTTGACGCGTCTGTCAGCTTCTTATTCAGATGCTTCGACGATGTCTAGACATTTAGTTAGTATTTAATTGGTGGCTGGTGATTAACAGTGGAATCCAGAATAACACGCATTTCGTCCTATTTGGGACTCGTCCTCCAGCTGGATGTACCTGCATTTCCCAGTCAGTGAGTGATGATGTTCCTACCACCAAGGCTCGAACACAGTGTCAATAGTTTCCAACACCAAAGCGTTATCTACTAGACCACTTGGGCCACGAGAGCTGGCCACCTCTTGTGCAACGGGTCATATTAATTATTTAGTTGAATTTGAGATTTTCCCGTCGATTGATTGGACTGAAGTGCTCGACCTCAGGTTGACATTTCGGCTTCTTAAGCATATGCTTCGACAATGTCTGGCCATTTAGTTAGTATTTAATTGGTGGATGGTGGCTAGCAGTGGAATGTGCATCCTGGATTCCACTACTAGTCACCATTCACCAGTTAGAATAGATTACGTAACGAAAAAGAAGTCACTTGAATGACGTTCAGAAGATATACAAGAAGAATACATGACTTAATAAAAAAAACTGT